GATGCAAGTGATGACTTCCTTAGAAAAATTCACTGGTGCATCTGCAATTTCGATCATTTTGAAATTATGTGTCAGAAATCGAATCTAACTGTGAAATATGTTTAAGGTAATATGAAAATCCAGAACTATTAGTATCTTTTAATATGATCGCCTTTAGCCTTCACACAGCTTTTCACATTATCGAGCGTTCGTCACTACCGAAGCATTGTGTGAAGACTAAAGCTAATCACTTTGAAAGCTGTCGACTTTTGGAATTACGATGGATAGTATTCATAGTTAGAGTTGATTTCTGAAGGGTGACACCAGAACGGGAGATGTCCTGCCGTGGAGGGAAATTTTTGCAAAATATGACCTCCTTTAAGAATTCGCTCCCCTGGTACGACCCCACCCCTTCCCCATCCTACCTACGAAGTTCCTCCTCTTCTCCTCAAAAAGCCGCTTTTCCCTAAGTCGAGCGAGAAGGACGCAGTGGCGAACGCACTGGAAGGGGAAAACCAAGAAAAGTCAACCAAGACGACTTTTCTCAAAAGCAGATGTGAGCCCCTTCCCTCCTTACAGCAATCAAGCACCACCTTCCTTGCTGTGAATTCCCGTTGTACGTGCACTACTCCGGAATTCCACGGGGAACATTGAAACTGCTGTGATTTTGCCTGATCCTGCACATCACTGCGATAACTCTTCCTTTCATCTGCACATATGGAAAGACTTATCTCGTGATATACCTGTTTAGTTGTACCAGGGATTGCTTCTGCTTCCGGATCCGGCAAATGATGACGAGGTATCTCAATATTGTCCTAAAGTACCACTGGCAATGAACACGCCTCCGCCAGATCAACTCGTCTTCCTCACCTTAGGCAACTTATGAAACATCCACTCCTTGTCCCACTTTAAATGCGTATGGTCTAGAGCAGCTAGTGAGGGCACCGATGACATATCATTTGCAATTGATTAGCCTGAAGCTAGCAATCTATGCAAAGCGCCCAACCAAGCTACATCTTGATCAGATAAGACGGAGCCCACAACTCACAGATGTGATTACATAGAGACGAATATTCAATAAAACATTTTATTCACAACCCATTCACTATAAGGCACCGGTAAAATGCAAGTCAATTATGCTGGAATTTTGCGGAAGGTAGAAAGCTCTGTCACAAATTATGCAGAAACAACCGTTCAGTAAAAGATCACAATTTTTTTCATAAGAAAGCGAAAATGACTAAAAGAAAAGAAACAAGTGAAAAGAGACAGATATCATTGTAAAATATCAGATATTGCTGGGAACGTGAATTGTTCCGTCTTCATTCTCATCTTGAAATGGAATAACTATCTCTGAGTATTTCCTGTCAAAACGCTGCACAAGGAAGTTATTGCCAACGTCTTTATTATAGCCGTAGAGCTCATAGAATGGAATCAGAGAGTCCTTGCACTCCAGAGACATTTTGTACACACCGACCTAAAAATCAGAGTAAATAAGCGGGAGAGTAACGAAAGTAACACCAATTATTTTCAAAGAACACTCCTTGTCGAACACGTCCCACCTACATCAAGGCACGTCCCCCCTTCGGAAAAATAATCTGTGCAGCTCAAACGTTAATGACAAGATGGTAAGTAAACAACAGTGAAGAAGGAAGCGATAAAAAGCCGCCTGAAATGCCCCCACATAGAACCCCATGCCGCCGCGCTTGTGCGTGCATAATGCGGAGAGAGGGCGTGATGGGACGAGTTTCCAGTTGTTGGTACCAGCTCTTTCTCCTTATCACCTCACCTATATCATTCAAATGAAGAGAAT